TTTGAAGCCTTTGAATAGGTTGTTGAAACTCAGAATATGACAAAATCAGTGCCGCACCATAGTTCGTCATATGAAAGATCAACAAGCGACGGAATATACTGCGCCAGTTCAGATGGAGGGGCAGTTTCAAAGGGTCATCGAAAATCATTTATGAAGGATCTCTCCAAGACCCTAAGAACGAAGTCACAATAATGGGGTGTAATCAAATCTGATTCTATAAAAACCTAGTACCATTTTTGCTATGAACTCTTACTTGCACGTGGGCGTCGACTTTCTGTTCTGACATTTTAGCAAAACGTTCCATCAGCCGGTAGGCACGTATAGTAGCTGCTCCCTAAAAATTTCGGTATGTCCGCGGAAAAGAAACTATATGGCTAGTGACCTGTATGCTTTCTCCAAGATGGCTGTATATGGGCGAGCGAGAAATAGACTCTAGCCTTTTTAGTTGTCGGGAAGTCGCGATGTAATATCTCTTAAGCATAGGAAAAGAATGCTATAAACGTGCACACATGTATTCGCTCCAACTCACCATTATCAATGAATATATGAAAGCGAGTGGTATGACAGCCAATCCGAAGGCTGGAGTAGAATACATGACAATCACCAAAGTAGAAAGAACTTGCATGAAACAGTGCATGAAAAACTGGACGTTCAGTGGCAAAAGTAGATCAACTGTTTCAATATCCTAGACAAGAATATTTTTCATTTGTATGCTATGTGGAAGAAACAAATCAGAGCTGCATACTTTACCAATACGGTTCAATATCCTTCCGAAAGGGGTGGTATCAAAAAAGGACATTGGAGCACGAAATATTGAATGAAGCAATGGTGTATGGAGATTTCGCGAAGCTGATACTCCGCCGAAGAGCAACGAAACAATACCAATAAAAAGTAAAAACACTGAAATTCAATGTTCCGTCTACGAATGATCATTCAAAATATGGAGAAGCCTTACCTTCGCTGAAGCCGAGTGCTGCATAAACTCCAAGTCGCATACGCATGGAGTGACGACGTTTAGTGCTGTTCATCACATGGGTATTATAGTCGGACCTATAACTTTTGTTCTCTTTTGTTGTAGGGTA